TATTCAAAGGCTCTCCTTTGTCTTTCTTGCACAGAGAGGGATTTTTCACTTTTACTTCATACCCCTCCCATACCCAGAGACCTTCACCCTCTTTATCCACTCCCCTCCCTCTGCCTCACTTCACCTCTAGCTTGCCTTAGTGCCCTTACCACGGGCTGGCACCTGACATGGACATTCCTTCTATAGCTCCAGCACTGTGCCCTGTGCAGGAGCTGTCACCTCGGGCAAGAGCTGCCAGCTCTCTGAGCTCCACACACCAATGCATTAGCCACTAGTCCCTGTACTGAAAAACACTGGCCTGTAATCAACACAAACATTAAAACTAGGAAGGATCATTTTCATCTTACCCTTGAGAACTCTCCAAGGTCAGAGCTAAAGACAGCAAAGAACTAAAGTCTTGGTCTAGTTCCCTAGCCAGTGCTCTTAGCATGGCCAAAAAGAAGCAACAGAAAGATAAGTGTCAAAATCAGGCTGAGGGATGGATAGACGAGGAAGGGAAGAGAGAATAAATACCCGCTTAGCATCACAGTAGCGAAGTCCAAAGGCATGAAACTGAGGGAAGAAAGTTGGCTTGACTGCGATGATCTGTGTGTAGAGCTCCGCAGGCCGGGACATAGCTGGTGTGCCCGACAGCAAGATCACCCTCTTGGCAACCTAGAGGACAAACAGCCAAAGGTGTTCTGAACACAGGGAAGAGCACATAGGGAGTATTCAAAGTGCCCCCATGAGATAGGAGCTGGTCACCCCCAGGAAGAGCAAAATCCAAATCCCCTGGAATCCAGCACGACCACCTTTCACTTTCCAGGCTGGCAGTTCTCAAGTTTAATCGCCTCAGAACAAAGGGTAGATCTGGATTCTGAACGTGCTAAAGATCAGCCTCACTCCAGAACTGTGCGTGGCTGACCACCTGGGATCTCTAAGCAAAGGTACCAGAGAAAAATATACTTCCTAGCNAGAAAGTTGGCTTGACTGCGATGATCTGTGTGTAGAGCTCCGCAGGCCGGGACATAGCTGGCGTGCCCGACAGCAAGATCACCCTCTTGGCGACCTAGAGGACAAACAGCCAAAGGTGTTCTGAACACAGGGAAGAGCACATAGGGAGTATTCAAAGTGCCCCCATGAGATAGGAGCTGGACACCCCCAGGAAGAGCAAAATCCAAATCCCCTGGAATCCAGCACGACCACCTTTCACTTTCCAGGCTGGCAGTTCTCAAGTTTAATCGTCTCAGAACAAAGGGTAGATCTGGATTCTGAACGTGCTAAAGATCAGCCTCACTCCAGAACTCTGCGTGGCTGACCACCTGGGATCTCTAAGCAAAGGTACCAGAGAAAAATATACTTCCTAGCACAGGAACCTAACGGCATGGCCGATGCAAGTGGTTCCATGTCATCTCCTTTTCTTGACGTCCTTCCTACACCCTCTGCTGCTCTCTTAACACATTACACTGAATTCTGTCTTTTCTGTCTTCCTCACTAGACCACAAGTTTCTTGAGATGAATATCTAGGCTGTGTTCACCTTTACTTTCTGTAGCATAGTACCTGACAAAAAGTAATTAATAAATGTTCACTGTATGCCAAAAAATTGAGAAGGAAGCTGGCTGGTGTCCTAGGGAACATGGAGTAAACTCAAAATCCAGGATTGGAACAGGAAGTGAGGGAGGCATTTAACAGGTCTCAACTTCCTCCAGAATGGACTTCTGATGTTCAAGCTGAACTTACTATCAGATAATGACACTCGGGGCCAGCCCGCTCACATTTCCCAGGAGGAATTGTCAGGGACTGCTGATGCATAAGCCTCCATTTGATTTTCTTTAAAGAAAAAATAAGGCCTTCACTAACGCAGCTTCACAATGCTTGCAGCTTCACAATGCTTCGAGCCTAGAGATCCCTGACTCATTTTGCAGTTAACAAGGACTTTATAGGGCAGGACCTGGATCCATTTACCCTAAATTCTGTCCAGGTCTGAAGTGGTCTGCTCAGCAGTGGGCAAGATGGAAATAAATAATTGGTCAATTCCAATGACAAAGTCCAGGTTCATTACTACCCTGACACTGACCTGACCCAAGGGGATCAGACCCAAATATCCTATCTCTATTATTAAGATGGGAAAGAGGGNACCTGACCCAAGGGGATCAGACCCAAATATCCTATCTCTATTATTAAGATGGGAAAGAGGGTGAGAATTAAAAAGGAGATACTTTACTGGAGGTAAAATTCATTTCAGTTCTGGGAAAGGACCCTACTGTCGAACTCAGTTGTCTAGAAACAGCTTGTTAATCACCGTAACCTTGAGTTAATGGCAGTAATATAAGGCAACAGTATGCAGTAAATCACCAATGGGAGCAAATTAGGTTTTTGAATCAACACACTGCCTCATAAAAATAAATAAATAAAGGCACAACAGTGGAAAGAAAAATGATTCTTTAAAAACATAT